CCCCCTTCACAAGAATTATTATCTCACCCTACACCTATAGACTATATACTGACGTGTAATGATCGTGTTACGAGTGTGTTTGTCAAATCTTACCGTCAAAAGAACTATTGCTTGATGTAAACTTGACCGGGCCCTTGTTCGAATTTAATGGAGGATATTAATCCAGACCCTTCTTGTATAGAGTTATCTATAATTCTAATATAACCTATTAGTCTTTATTGTTTGTGATAGCATCCAGTTAAAAAATATTCTGTAAAATCAACCCAATATCTGTGTTAATTACGATCGACACAAAATTTGTGTTAAAATTCAACGCACATTATGTTATTTTAAGACAAAAAATTTTTAACACAGATCGTATTTAACACAAATACACAATATTTTTTACTGTGCAGTAAAGTTAGTTATAAATGAAATGATATATAAAATATTTTCAGTATTTAAAAAATTTTTTTTGTAAAAAATATTATTTCACTCAACACCGAAAATGTCAAAGAAAAATTGGGGATTTTATTTCAATTGCGTAAAATATATATCTGATGAAGAAATTATATAACAGATAAAATACAAATTTTCTTGATAGTAAAATATTCAACTGCTCATATTTTCGAAATTATACGTTTGAGCAATTTAAGCTATTTCTGTAGTAAATTAAATTACCTACCACTTTTTCATTACGTTTTTTTGGGTTAGACAAACTATTCTCTCAATATCTTTAAATATATATGAAAAGATTCGAAAAAATCACTTTCAAAGCTGATAAAATTAATATGACTAGAGTTAGAGTAATATTGTTACTACAGTCGACGCTCTCTGTATTTGACTCGCTCGTACAGGACCATTCTCTGTATTTGACTCGTCCTTGTCCATAAGAGTTGTGCAAAATCGTCAAATATAGAGGAAGAATGTGGTCAAATACAGAGAGCGTTGACTGTAAGTCTTTTGGCTGGCATCAAATTTACTACAGACAATTATTTTATTTCAATAAACATACTTCTTATTAGAATGCCTGACGATAAATACAATAAAAAAATAACTTTCAAGTGCAGAGTCACGATTAAGTTTAAATAATACATAACCGATACTTACTATTAGATTTTATTTCTATGTACCACTCAGTAGTTATAAAGAATCAAGTATTAAATAAAGATAATGAATGAAAATAAATTACAACAATTAAATTGACCTTGGAAAAATTTTTGGAGGAATTATTTTGTTATTATTATTATTATTTAATTGTTATTATTATTTAATTGTTATTATTATTTAATTGTTATTATTATTTAATTTTGGAAATAGTATAGATGTAATAATGTAAATTGTAGCTTGTTTTATAAGTTGTGACATGCATTTTTTGGAATTGAGATACGATCTGTTATCTGGAAGTTATTTAAAAATAAACTTGTTAAAGTATTTTAATAATGCAGAATAATTTTCAAAAAATGAAATTATTATCTTTAAAACTTCAAGATATATATTTTACGATATTTAATTATCAATTTTCAATGTTATTTAAAAATTCTTGAAATTTTCATCCATGATCGAGAATTTTTTATATTTTCCAAATTAATTGACCGATTTGACTTTAAACTTGACTAGTCATTTATATTTTTACAAATTTCAAAATTTTTTCCCCAGAAATTCTACATTTGAAAATTCTATAATGTAAGTTTTTAAAATTATACACTGAAATTTTTATTTTTACTGAAGTTATTTTGTACTTCAGCGGATGAGTTCCAAAAAATAAATGATCAATTACACTCCATAAAATTTATATTAATATTTAAAATTTGTTCATCGTCGAAATGCAAATGAAAAAATTTATGCTACGAAAAATAAAACCTGGTAAACTCCCAACGGGCAATAGAGTCGCTGTCTAAAAGATGCCGAGGGTGTGCATCTGGAATGTGATGGTGCGTAAAATATATAAAGAGGAAAGTTTTGATTTGTTCTGATGGTGAAATGAAGAGGATGAATGAAGGATGAAATAAGGGTAAAAGCTCTGAAGATCATAGGCCAAAGAGCAGCGAAGGTGTGACATCTCTATACGTATACGTATGCACACCAAGACGATGATTGAAGTGCACTTAACTCACGTAATACGTGACACTCATCAGCGAGTACAAGTATTGTTATACGGATGTGTTCCCTTGTGGTCTAGGGTCTGCGGAGTGGATAAAAACTAAAAATTCTTATCCAAACTCATGCACTCATAAACTTTCCTGTTATATGTGTGTAAGAGTGAAGAGTGGAGATATGAGTTAAAGAACCCAAGAGGACATTGTATATAATATACAAATGACAACAAAAACGACGCAGAGATGCTCAGATGGATATGAAGATGGAGATGATGACGTTCACTCACTTATAAAACTCGTAACCGCTTCCGCCGATGCACTCGTCTAGAAAATTTTTCACGGCAACCATTAGATACATTACGTACATCTCTTCAATGGAATATAACTTACCTTTTTCAACATTTTTTTCATCATTTGAGTGCAGTCGGCTGTGTAAGATGTTTTTGTGGGATTAAGAAAGCTTTTTCATACTAAATATACATTTTAAATCAAAAAGCTCAAAAATTTGGCAAAAAATAACTTTCACCGATTTGCACTAACCTAATAATTAATGATAGATGAATACATCCATTGATACTCAAAGTAGTTTATAAGATGTATAAATTTCGGATTAAAAGCATAAGCTTTAAATTCAATATTCCAAACCCATTAGCAGCCGAATTAACGAGAAAATCCGATATCCGATTCAGACTAGCGTATGTTACATTATGATCAATTATTTCGCTGTATCCATTGAGAAAGAGAAATATTATTGTCCAAAAAATATTTCCTTTTATTATAACAAGTAAAAATACAAAAAGCTTTACTTGAATTAAGGGATCATTCTACTTTGGATATACAAAAAATAACACTATTTTTGTTGATTTTTTTAAAGAATACTGTTGTGTTTATTGACATAATACTTGTTAGACTCAAGAATGACATTCATAAACTACAAAAAAACAATAAAAAATGTTATTGATTTTAGCCCCTTTTTCAGTGGAAAAATGCCAGGTAAACAGGTCCTCAAAAAATAAATGAGTGTGCACTGTTGAAAAAATCTCAGAAACTTGAGCCGATTTTTATGAAATTTTAATTACGTATTCTGTACACTTATCGCTATATCCCCTAGCGGAATCATTACAAAATTTATATTTTTAATACATTTTATTGCGATGAATCACGTATAAAAAAACGTGTTTTTTTTTGACCGACATTTATTTATTTTGGCATAAAAATGAATAATTTTGGTATAGAACATAGTGATAAGTGCACAGAATATATAGTTCAATTTTCATAAGAATCGGCTCAGAAGTTTCTGAGATGTTTTCTATAGCTCACACCTACCTACTTTTTAAGGACTTCTGTTTAACTGTTGTTTTTACACTAAAAAAAGGGTTTAAATCAATAAAAATTCTTTTCTTGCAGTTTATGAATGTATTTTTTGAGCGTAATAAGTCTTATATCAATAAACATAACAGTGTCTTAAAAGAAATATTTAAAAATAGCGTTATTTTTCATGCATCCAAAGTATACTTTATTCTATAGAATAACCCCTTAAGTAAGGATTATTTTGATCAATTTTTTAGACTACAAAATATATTCTTAATGATTATTAATAATATGTGTCCTTGAGTCAAGAAAATATTTTTAATAGAAACATTTTTTCCTCTCAATGCTGAATTAATTTGATGCAGATTATCTCAACATTAGTACTTTCTCATATTTTTACCGGTTAATTTTTAGGCTTACTCAAAACGATCAAGCCAATTTGTGAATAAAGCATTATTTTTTTCTTTTAACCACCCTAAGAAGTATTTTTTTTATATATTTGTCTACCCTGAATAAAAAAATGTATTTTTAATAGAAACATTTTTTCCTCTCAATGCTGAATTAATTTGATGCAGATTATCTCAACATTAGTACTTTCTCATATTTTTACCGGTTAATTTTTAGGCTTACTCAAAACGATCAAGCCAATTTGTGAATAAAGCATTATTTTTTTCTTTTAACCACCCTAAGAAGTATTTTTTTTATATATTTGTCTACCCTGAATAAAAAAAAGTATTAAGACAAAGAAAAAAGTATTGAAAAGTATTGGTTTTCTAGTCAATCCAATACTTTTCAATACTTTTTTCTTTGTCTCAATACTTTTTTTTTATTAGGGTACGTTAACATGTGTATTTTTTCATGAGGGTTAAGGCAATGAAGCTATTAATATACACCGATAAAATATTTAATTTTTTTCAAGAAACAAATTCTTAATCCTAAAAGATCATTTTAAATAATTCGACTATCTTGAATCGACTGTAAAAATTCTTAAACATAATACTGTTTTTAGTCTAAATAAATTTTACTCGGTTTAAGATCTTTCATGCTCCTTTCAAGACGAAAAAATTCTTTAAAATAATCTTTTTACTGTTCAAGTTTTGCTTCTCTTGTACCATCTTAATTTGTCTATCCGTGTACTTTTTGACTTACGACTTAAATCTTACAATTAGTGAATAAATTTATCAAAACATAATGTCTCAGACACGTACATCATCGATGCTTTATTTTTTGTTGTTTTAATTTAAATTAAATAATAATAATAATAACATCATAGGACAATCTGGGCGAGTACGAATCAATTATTACTTATAAAGCGGTGCGATTTAAAATCAAATAATATTATTTCCGCCATATAATAATATTATCATAATCATAAAATCTTCATTTTTTACAATATATAATATCATCATTATCATTACTTTATATATAATATACATATAGTTATTATTAATATCAATTAGAATTATTATTACAGTTATAAGTATCGTCCATGATATTTAGTGAATATTATCACGGTGCAGCGAGGAATCGCGGAAACTGATGGTGATGATGACTTTGATGAGGATCCAATCTCACCATCAATCCGGAGTGATAGGATGAATTAAGGATGGGTTATTGCGACGACTGGACCTGAGAATTGGGCGGTGGAGGTGGCGGTGGTGGAGGCTGAGGATGCACCTGATGAGGTAGCAATGTGTGGGCCTGAACGTGAGGAGGCGGCGGATGGTGATGATGGTGGTGATGCTGGTGATGAGCCGCTACTGCTGCGTGTGGGGAGTAGAATATTGATGGTGCTGTGGTGCAGGGAACACAGGAAGTTCCAACACCAACGCCAACACTAACACCAACAGAGTGAGGTCCGTTAGTGGCCGTCAAAGGATTCGTAGCGCTGGAAGCCTGTCCAACGGAAGAAGAGGTCGCTACTGTGTTATTTGTAGCGCTGGCCTCGTGATACAAAATGGGCACGCGAACCAGCCGCTGTGCCGCATGTGCCATGCTGGAGGCCTCTATTTCTGCAGCTAATTGACGCTTCCACTTGTTCCGCCGGTTCTGGAACCAGATCTTTACCTGGGTCTCTGTTAACCGCAACGAAGCGGCCAGTGAGGCGCGCTCTGAAGAAGAAAGGTATCGTTTCATCTCGAAGGTTGTTTCTAGTTGAAACACTTGCGATCTGGAGAACACGGTTCGCGTTTTCTTTTTACGTTTCACGTTTGAATCCTGCCCGTTTACGTTCTGTCCCCCTGAACTTCCGCCTGCAGTTATCGAACCGTGGTGGCCAGAGGAACCTGGAGATTCGCCGTCCTCGCCGTCCATTCCGTCGTCGACATCTCCTAAGTCTTCGTGGACTTCGTCTCCCGTGGATGGACTTCGACCTCGCAGCAGTCGATCATCTGACGGATTGTCATCGTCGTCTTCTGAAAGTATGATAATTGGTGAGTGAGTTTTAGTACCTTTGAAATTGATTTCTCAGGAAATATTTTTAATCTACCAAAAAAAAAGTTACGAATTAAAAAAAAATGGCTACTTTTTCCGATGAGCATATTTCAAAAAGAGACGTTTCTTTTCAAAAGTTTTTATTTCCAAGTATACTTTTCTAAAAAATATAAAAAAATGAAAATCGAGTTTTCATCAGACCTCGACGGTTTGAGATTCGAGGAAGCTTCCCTGACTATTCCCGCGATGGTGTCTGTATGACTGTATACATGTATGTGTGTATGTGTGTGTATGGATGTATGTAAACCTCTCATAACTTTTGAACGGCTTGACCGATTTGATCGCGGTTGGTGCCATTCGAAAGGGCTTGAACAAACTTAGATTTTTAATTCAACTTGTATCGATTCGGACTAGTAGATTTCGAGAAATCTAAAAAAAACTACGAAAAAATATTTGTTTCTACAGACTTCCAATAGGTGTTCAGAATTTTTAAATTTAAATTCAATCAAATTTTTCCTTTAATTTAACAATGAAAAGAAATTTTGAACGATGTATTTTTTTTTGAATCAAGTAGTTTTTTTTTTTCATTGACATAAATATTAAAAAGTTGCTGACAAAGTCCGATTAAACTTTTTTATTCCCAGTAAATAAAGTTGTCTTTGGTTCTCGAGACGAGTTGGCATTTCACGTGGGAAGGGAACACTGTTAACGCTTTGCTTATTCGTGTGTGGTAGAAGATAGAGATAGAATGAGGTTGGTTTCCTCACAAAACCGCTACGTGGCCAACAGGAGGGTGTGATTAAAATTTTCGAATGGGGTGTGTTCTGGGTATTCACCGTGGTTTATTCTTTATCTCTTTTGGACTTTTTTGGATGGTATTCCCATTCTATTCTATTCACATCGAACATTTACGGTGTAGAGTTTAGAGTGTGTTCCATCACTGTTCCGAGTCTCCACTGGTATCTCCTCTATGTCCGTGTTTAGTTATGTCGGGCTGGTGGTTGTTGTGCGTGCGGGACCAAACGCTTGGGATGATAGAACGAGGGCGGAGATGGAAGAGGGTGCTGAGTAGAGGAGACCTAGAGGGAAACTATATGTAAAGCCGGAACGGAATTCAGCACAGTCTTCTATATATAATATTTTATATATATATATATATATATATATATATATATATATATTGTATATTATAGATGTGTGTGAGGGTGTGTGCTTGTGAATGTAAAGCGCAAAGTATGAGAGACAGAATTGAGACGATATACCCGGGAGTACAATGCTTTAATGCAAGACTATCACTATATAGCATAAATATACGGCTTCCACGGCTTCCGCTACGACAAACCAACGTCGATCGCCTTACACTCGTCGATCGTTTTGCTATTGCCACCTCTGCGAGTACACAGTACTTATACTTATAGCGTCAAACTATCCCCAACGGTTTATCGCCATTTTGCCTTGTTAATGTTTGCAAAGTCCCACTATGTAGATGCTTATTTGTTGTCAATACACACAAGTGATAAAAGACATTTCAAAGGATTTGTTATGTTATAATTTAGAACATTATAAAAAAAAAAAATAACTTTGTTCATTCAAAATTACCATTCGATGTATTTTATGTTAATGAAAATACTCTTCTTGTTATTAAATTGAACACAGAATAAAAATCTACTCGATTCAAAAGAAATGTAGATACAAAAAAATTATTTTGAAGAGAATCGGTTGTTTTGATTTAAGAATTTCTCGTCTTATGTAAAACGATTAAAAATGTATTATCTTTGTGGGATACAATCACATTCTACATCCAAAAACACGATTCTCAAAAACTTACAACAATTTCGTTATTCTTAAAGAATTTTATATTCTTGGTTCAAGAACAAGTTTTTTCATTCAAGATACCAAAACAAAAATGTTAAAAATAAAGAAAATATTCGACTTGAAGCTATTTTGAAATGTCTTTGAGACTTATTTTGACTATATAAAAATAAAAAATTGATAAAGGAATAAATTGGTTTAAGAGAAAAAATCTTGATCCAAGAACATTAGGAAGAGTTTGATAATCTTGAATCAAAAATTTACTTGTACCAAGAATAATTTCTTAATTCAATGATTTTTTTACTTAATCAAGAATGATCAAACTCTTCAAAGTGATATTCTTCCTCCTTGATTTTGGTTTTAAATAAACTCAATTTTTTTCCGGTGCAAAAATCGTAGGATTCTTTGAACTCTTGGTGTGTAACTAAAAGATCAGAGTTCGATTTCCCGTCCAGGCTCTCTGAATTATTTTTCTGTTACCAAAAATCTCCACTGAGTAGGACACCATTTTTTTTTTATCTTTTTATCCAAAATTTCCTCTTAAATTTTTATTAAAAATCGCCAACCCAATTTCAAAAAGAATATTGTCCTTGAATCAAGTAGTTATTTAATTTTAGTATAAATTCTTAATAATAAACTTTATTTAACCCCTGATAGGCAAATATTTAACCGCTATTCTTCTAACAACAATGAGAATAATGAACTAATACAATTTAATTTGAAGTATTCAATAAAGAAGCAAAGAAATTTTTTTGTTTTTAAATGAAAGCGCGAATAATTCTGGATAAGATAAATATAATTTTGTAATAATTTAATAATATAAAAATAACATTTAATATGAACAAAGTCTGCAAAATTCTAATAAAGTTAAACTTTAGAGGTGGATACTTTTTTTACCCAGTTTGCCTGTCAGGGCTTAAACTACAATAAGTTATCAATAAGTTCAATTTTATAACTAGGGCTTATTGAGTTATATTCAAGCTATTAAAGTCTAAATATTATCAACATATTGAAAGTTTTCACATAAATCAATTGTAAGCTTTTTACATTAACGTGAGTTTAATGTAATCCAAATATTCCGACTCAAGAAGTAATTTTTTTTTTATATGTATTATTGATAAATAATTATAGATTTTTTCGATATTACCTCATTATTTACTACTAATAAAAAATCGATTGAACTACTTTGAAACAGTAGTTTATGCGGTAAGAAATAAATTAACAATTATTTAAATCATCAAAATATATTAACGGACAGAAATTCCAAAACTCTGAAATATATATCTCTATACATGCACATATATGACTTTAGAAATCAAAGTGTCTTTCATCGTAGATCCTCTTCATTACTATTATAAAAAGTGTAAAAACTTATATTTACAGAAAGTAGATACGAGATCTAAGCTGTTAGTTCTTCCCACAATCAATGAAACAACTAGCTACAAAAATGCACATTATGTAGCTTTCAAAATCTAATCAATAACAATATAAAAATTTTATGTGTGTTCTAAGAAATTGTTAAAAAAGAAGTGTAGTAATTGGATAAAAACTAATAATTATAAGCTATAATTAAAAATAAGATAAATTCATAATTCTGTTTTCGGCAACTTAATTTACGATGCAAATATTCACTATATAATTAATATGTAAGTCTAATTTATGCATAACTGTTATCTACGATGTACTGATTCTAAGTACAGGTGCAATTGCACCGTTTTAGGAATTTTTTTTTTAGAAAAAAAAAAATAAAATGTTATATGAAAAATTATATTTATTATTTGTGTCTCAGTTTGCATGCGAAACGCCATACCAGTTCGTCCAGAAAACTAGAGAAAACCGAGTACCGAACTCGTACATGTATAATACGAATATATATGTATATATATAACCCGAGGATATGTCTCGAGTCACAAAACGGAGATTTATATTTCAAGAGGCCACCCCTATACTAAAAAGTGCACGGACTGGAGGTTACAGTTTACTAAAGTAAAGGGGTTCACTCGACGTGGTGGATTAAATTTTAGTGTAAGTAAAGAGAGAGCAGACTTTTAGCTCGTTTGATGGTATTAATTTGATGGTTATCTATTGACTGGCACTGTTATATTGTGTCGACAGTGAATGAGTGAATGAGATGAGTCAATTTTTGGGATGGTCTATCCAGCGAATACTGACAGAGGGGACACCAGATGGCCTTGGCCAATGCCTATCGCCTAAATTAGCGGTTTATTACTTTTGACAACTAAGATTTTATGATAAAAATTCAATTGACCTCCTATCTGTTGTGTTAAATTACATTTAGCTCGTGCCCATCTTCCAATTTGGCTAATTATGCTTTTGTTTTAGATAAACTCTCATGATAATGATGCCTTTGTTTAATGACATTTGCTAATGCGTGAACAAAACTACTAATCGCGGGTGGTAAAGTTTTCGATGCTATCTAATTTATAGCGGTTACATATGTTGACAAAATATTTACCCGAAACATGTGTTCCAATAATTTTAGTTTGACAACATTTGTAATAGTTAATGTTTTTGTGATAGATAAATATTGCATATTAATGTTTATGTATGTTAAACAATTTCATCGTCATGTTTCGCTGCAAAGTTTAGTATCATTTTTGCTCTATAATCCCTGGCCATATCTATAATTCTATAATACAGTACACTGAGAGGAAAAATTGAAATTGGGAAACAAGAGCACTCTTGTTACAAAAATTTTAATTCTTGGAAATTTTCAACATTTTCCTTCACTATTAGCTGAAAAAATCTCATTTTTCTAGTAGGATTTTTTTTTTTATAAAATAAGGTTTTTTTCATATAGAAAGAAACAATTTGAACGAAAGTCTAAAAGTATTTCATTCTAGACTTGAAGTTTTTAATGACAAAAAATTGATTTCTTTAGCTGAAAAATAAATGTTTTAAAAATTTTCAAAAATTTTAATTATTGAAACAAAAATTTTCTTTTTTCTGAAAAGTAATTTTTTCTCTCTGTGTAGAACCTCGATAACATAAAAATTTGTATTACTTTCTAAATTTTTGTGTTCCCTTCCTACTTAAGCTTAAGACTTATACAACTTGAACGAATAATTTAAACGTTAATCGCCTGTAGCAGGAAGCAAAAAAATTTCCTGAGCCAATTATGATTAATTGACATTAAAAAAAATCTGGAAAACGGTTGACCCTAAAGGTCATCCCTGCAACTTCCCGCTAATTCCATAAATAAGCTCTTAAAATTGCACTTATGACGTTTTTGAGCTCTTCGAGCTCGAAAACGAAAATTTTTATTTAAACTTTTTTTATAGGCTGTTCAATCCCCTACACAAAATGCCTTAATCGTCGGAGCAAAGTGATTCGTTGTCGGGTTGTTTATATACTTATTTATTTCTTTTAAAAAAACTCAACAGCCCAGAGGTCAATAAGAGGGTCACTTAGTTAATGTAAATTTGTTACAGTTATTTTGTTATATTAATTCATTCAGAAAAACAATTAACTTGATTCAAGAGAAAAACTTTCTAACCAAGAAAATAATTTTGAAGAGTTTAATTGTTTTGAATAAAGACGAAAAATTCTTAAATAAAGGAAAATTTACTTAAGGTAGTTGTTATGGTACAATTGTCAAAAAATTAGAGATTATCCGTGCCGCAAAAGCATATGAGCTTGTGGCTAAGTAATCCATAATTTTTACGCAAGATTGTCCCCTTAGAGACGCAACCCATACAATTGTTTCTGTCCGACTCCGTAGAGATATACTTTTTCATAAATTGTTGAACTTTAATCCGTTATTTATAGATAATTAGACAGTCAAAAATTTTGCACGGCTCATGATGCAAAGCATCAGAGTGTGCTTGACGATCGAAAAATTTTTTTCGCCTCATTTCGGCAACTATTTTTATTATTATACCCTTGTTAGTTTACGGAATCAAGATATTTCGCATACTATTGTCAAGATAATTTAATGGAGATTAATTGCATACTTTTCAAAAATTTAATTAGTGCAATAGAAACGGAAAAAAACATCAAAATCGTTTGAAAAATTATCCTGTCCGTCATGTATGAAACCCTGAAAATACTGTAACTTGCGAAAAAATCCATTGATTGAGTCAAATTTTTTTTTGAAAAATTCTTTAAAAGAATTGTCACCGAATGCGAATGGATAGGTAACTTAGAGTCGTTTATTTGCAATAAATCCTAATATAAAATTGAGATGAAATGTATGTGGCATCAAACTATTCGTAACGTGATTGGTCAAATATATCATAAGCATGAAAATATAGACAAATGCTATACTCATGCGCGCGTTTGCGCGCGCAAAATTCAAATTCTAGTGTCGTTAAAAATACCGATATTGCCTAATTTAATTAACAATTAAAATTCACCTCAAATTAACGACTAACATATATTTACTGATATTTTACAATAAATGCCAAAAAAATATTTAGGATAAATAAAAAATAGTTATAAATCATTGTAAAATTATTGAAATATATATATATATATATATATATATATATATATATATATATATATATATATATTGAGTACATTTATCCCACTAGAGGCGCGTGCGCATTATTATCCTATTTTAGCTGCTTGATATTTTTTTTCATTCGCTTTATTTTATTATTATTGCACGACTCATGATACGAAGCATCAGAGAGTGCTTTACGATTGAAAAATTTTTCATAATTAAATGAGCATTATGAGTCGTGCACTTTTGGATTTTCCAAATTTTTTTTGTATTGAAATACGTCAACTACGTGAACGTCTCGCACGGGGAATTCATACAAGAGCAGGCCGTGCGAGAGTTGATTCGAGTTCACAGTAGTTCTAAGACTGAGAAAATTAGGAACGCCAACAAGGTCCTCCAGATTATCACGTATTTTTCTTTAAACTCACAACAAATACATTAAAAGACAGTTTTTTGAAAGTTTCTGACAGTTAGTTTTTTTTTACAACTAAGAAACTGGTACAGAACTGCAGAGAGCGTATGCAATCAATGTTAAAAATCCAATTTTTGATTGAATTCATCTCCGGATATAGGTGGTCAATCGACTTCAAAGTTTTAGGGTAATTGTATCATCATGTCCTTAATAAGTATACAAAAATTTAGAATTTTCTGACAGTATGCCTTAACCACGACAACTACCTCAAAGAAAAATTTTTTAGTTTAAGAATTTTTTCATTCAAATCAAGAAGATGAAGCCCTTCAAAATTATTAACTTGATTCAAGTAAATTTTTTCTTGTGTGCATGATTAATAATTACTTTGTTGACTGTTTACTTTCTTAACACATAAATAATGCTGAATAATATCGAAAAATTTCATCGAGTAAATAGAATAAAATACTATTACTACAACAAAACTCACCTCGCTTAAGATATGACCCAGAGGGTGGACTAACACGACTGTGCGATCCAATAACGTCGCTTGGGGATGGATGCTCGAGACCTTGCAACCCATGAGTCGGCCTCCATGGAAACGGCCAGCCTCCGTTTCCCGGTAAAACTCCGCGTATTCCATCAGCGTCACTTGCGTCGGATTGACCAGCATTGCTTAAAGCTGAGCTTGCGACAGCTGCAAGCCGGGAATGATGCTGTTGTTGGAGGTGCTGAAGTGTTGAGGGGAAAAATACCCCACCTACGCCAATGGGATACCTCTCGATCAACGAAGATACGAGACCCAGTCTGAAAAAATAAGAAACTCAGTTATTATTATTACTTCAAGATTCAAATATATGATTAGAGAAAATAACAATGTTGAGATCATTTTTTTTTGTTAGAGAACATGTCTACAAAATTTTAGAACGACCGGAGGAGAAAGCCCCATGAACATAATTTTATTTTATAGGTGTAAAATGCCAAGACACAAGCCAAACGGCAAAATAATTAGTCACAATAGTTACAACTGTAAATATATAATAATAATTGTAATGTATAAAATATAAATAGACAAAATATCAAATAATAATGATATTATAAGATTAAGTAAATAATACTAATTATTAATAAGAGATATTTAACTAAAAATAATTTTATTCAGTCTAATAAAACTGATTAAAGCTCTAGCAATAGAAAACCATGAATTATATGATTATTTAAAATAAATATTCTGTACATTTAAAATTTCTTAGAAGTCAAATGACAGATATTTAAAAAAATGGAAAAGAATAAATTTAGACAAGTCAATAAAAAGACAATTGAAAATTTAGAAATATAAAAAAATAGACAGTTTTAATTATTCGTAAACTTAAAAAATGAACATCTCTAAATATAGACCAGTAAATTTAGATATCTTTAATTTTGGACATCTCTAAATATTTATACAAATATAAATTCTTACAATTCATAACAAAGACCATTAAAAACGTAGTAATCATACAAAATAAGCGCTAAGAAACTGAAAATACAAAAGATAACAAAAAATTAATTAATTTTCTTGTGATCGCTGCTCCAGGAAGTTGTAAAGTTATTTGCGATCGATTGTCTTGTAATTTTTAAAACACATAAAGATTTTGCTTTTAATCTTGGTAAAAAATATTTTCGAGGACCCGGAACTGTCATCAGCCCCTGTGACCGCTGCTCCAGGAAGTTGTACTGATACTTGCGACCGATTGTCTTGTAATTTTTAAATCACACCAAGATTTTGCTTTTAATCTTGGTAAAAAAATAATTTAAGTAATCGCTCCTAATATGGTATAGGAAAACATTTCATTAAAATTATAGGAATGATTTCCATATTTTTCTCTCCGTGTAGTGAATTAGCAATCAAAAAATTTACATTAGTATTTTTATTTGCTAATCCTTTAGATCATCTCGATTCGTTGTTAAAAAATAATTAGGTTTTCCAATAGATAACAATTAGTTGGCGGAATGAGCTATTAATTTTTCTTGACTGTGCATAAAAATTAAAAAGCATAGTGAAAATTTTTTTGTTCTTAGATAGAGTTTGCTAAGACCCGATCAACTCATGTTCAAAAAATTTTCATGGGATGAGTGTTAGCACTATCTGGCCTTTTTAAGATCACATTGCATTATTTTCATGAATTGATATTTATTTTTGATTTTTAACTAAGGTAAAAGACCCCATTAGTGTCACTTTTTCTTTCAATGAAAAAATGTTCTACTTGGAATCAAAATTAATGATTTTTTTGGTCTAAAGGTCTTAAAGATTAGAAATAATATATTAATTATTAAAATTAATGATTTCATTAATTGAATAAGTACCAAAATCAAAGATAGTGTCAGTAATGGGGTCCTCGTTACTAATGGGGTCTTTTACCCTAGTAGAATCTACATAATAAAATAAAAAAAATATCGCCTAAAAATGAAACATCCTAATAGAAATATTTGGATTTATCAGAAATTTTTTCACGGGATATCGCTATTTCTTTTTGGCGTTTCACGATCAAAATATATAATAGTATAAAATCGTTATAATCATCGTTAAAAACAATGGTAACCAAAACAGAACAATGACTGTGTAATCTCTTTTGGTATTATACGATCAGAATTAAATATAACAATTTTTGATCAGTATTATTAAAAGCCTTCGGTGGTGGCAATTGACGAAAAATCGATAGAATGTAATCCCCAATTGTATTAATGTGGTTTAAATGGCGATTTAATAATGATGTATACAGTTCGGATACACACGAAGGCATTAATTTGTATCAGAGTTAATTTGCATTCACCCGATAAAATATTCCTGTGGGTTATGTCCGACCAATGCCCAATAGCGGAATCAACGAATCGTTATAACCGGGCAGAGTATCCAGTTATACACAATCTGTTTGTTGATGGCTGATGCTACTGGCTACCACTAGAACTACCCTGGTCCCTCTTGCCTCTGGTGCATTGCGTTCCTCCTCATCGTTTGCGGGATAAACTAGCGTACAATTTCAGGTAAATGCTGAAATTCTCTGTGGCATCGATCGAAAACCCAGCATTGGGCGCTTCGCGCTATCGCGTATCGCTATTGACCCGACCATAAGCTATTATCTCGTAACGCCATTATTGCTGCCATCTATATATATATATATATATATATATATATATATATATATATATATCTTTACTGCCAATATCAATAAAATCTTTACTGCCAAAACTTTCGGTTTTTTAAATTTTAACCTTCCAATTTTTATGAGATTTTTATAAAAGCATTCACTTATGAATTTATTAGTGCTTATAGTTATTTCTCGTGAAGTAAATTTTGATATTTTCTACTTTTCGCGTCAAGAAAATAAAAATTAAATATTTAAATATTGTTCGATTTATTGAAACTTTGGAGCAATGTTTGGGTGAAATGACAAATATTCAATCCACTGTTCTATTGTGGGTTAGTGGAATGAAAACAAGCATATTTATTTGTCATAAATCCAATATTTTGATATGGATAACTAACTGTGTGGATAGTGTAAATAAATGACGCTTAAATCAACAAATTGCTTGTAACTAAACCGGATGACAATTGACGGTGGAATTTTATCTCATAGTTTGAATTTGCTGTATAGTTTATGAAATTTTTGATTTTATTGAATTGTTTCGAGGAAATGAATTTTTAAATGTGATATTTTTTTACACTAAAAAAAAAAACACTCAAAGTGTCAGTGAAAAAAATACTCGGTTCAAATGAAATACTCTTATAATAACATATTAATCATGTATGATTAGATTTTAAAATTCGCACAGTAAAAAATTTTTCGTCAAATTTAACACAAAAATTTGTGTTGATGACTTTTTTTACACAATTTGTGTTAAATCAACACTCTATTGTGTTGAATCAACATACGAAAATGTTAAATTCTACACAAACATTTTTACACTTTACACAATGACGAAAAATTTTTTACTGTGTGTGATTACATTTATAAACTGTTATTACAGATTTTAAAAATCATTCAGTTAAGAAACTATTTGATTCAAGAAAAATATTCTTCTGAAAAATGTAGTCTCGTTTTGAGATTTTCCATTTGATATAATTTAAAAATTTTATGAATTAAAATAAAGAAATAAAATACAAAAAGTTCGTTAGTCAACAATTTTACTAATTCATCGAAGCAATTTATTATTTTCAAACGAGATAATCTGGATTTCACTCAATAATTTTTTTCTCGAGGATAATATTGATTCAAGACATTACCGACTTGTTTCAAGAAAACCAATCTTCTAATTTCTTTAACTTTCTATATCATCAAAAATAAATCTCAAATGCGTTTCCAAATTGGTTTATTTGAAATAATTGAAATGTTTGTTTGATTTTTTTTTTTATTATTTTGATTGGAGGAATTTTTTCTTGCACCACGAAGATAAATTTTTGAAGAAAAGTACAATAATTATAAGTGTGACAAAATAATCTTTTTCGATGTCGAATATGATTGTATCTCGCAAAAATAATATAGTTTTGATCCTCAAATTTCAAATTGATTTTCGCTAAGAAAATGAGTTCCAACATAAAGAATTCTTGAATCAATACAACCAGTTCTCTTGAGAATAATTTTCTCGAACCAACAATATTTCTTTCGAATAAAGTACTTTTTGTTCAGCGCATTCATTTTCAAAAAGAACAATTTGACAAAAAACAAAAGCTAATTTCTAAAGTTTGAAAATCAAGACACTCAAAGATACTTGGTCCTTTGAAATATCCATAATAAATTTCTATCTCGGAACCAAGAAATTTTATTTCCACTTTGCTACAATGAATAGTCTCAAAATCTATAAAAATTCCTAATCGTATCCATAGACAAAGTTAACAAGTAGCAAAATTGAATGATATTTAATATTGTATCTCAGGTATGTCCGCTAGAATTGCAATAAAAGTTTATCCGTAATATGATTCAATAGATTGGTTCGATTATTAGCTCTATTTCGAACAAAAAGACACTGTATTGTCATTGTGTACCAGAGTGATGGACAAACAAACAACATAATGGCCCGAGAATCGGAATCGGGTGCGATAAATTAAGAACTTTGGGACAGTATTATTGTGTTATTGGCAGAGTGTGATGTTACGGGGACGAGAGTGTGATGTTGCAATGAGGGTGGCTCCTAAGAGAATTTAAAGTATAAAGAGGGTAGCTGTTAAGTGAGAGGACGAATAAGTTGGAAACCGTTGAGAGATGGAGGAGGATCCGGAGGCATGCGCTCCAGATTCCCTGGTGAAGATAGTATAAAGGAAATCTGACAAGCGTCTGTTTGTAAGCAGCCAAGAGTTTACCAGCCAGGTACGGAATACACAAGTATACATGAGGGAGGACTAAAGACACTGGCGAGGGTACAGTAGGGTGTCTTTTTCTAACTTTCTTGTTCATGTTCTGTTCCTTTGCCAGCCCCTACTAATATTCTGGCTACATTATCCTGGGCGCTTTTATACGGCTTGCGATGTTTCGTGGATTCTATGGATTTGTCACCAAATCCTAAGGATCATCACGCGATATTGGATTTACTTATTTCGAGTGCATTAAGAGATGAATTTTTATAAATGGATTATTATAAAAATTTTTTAAATGTTTGATTTCAATACTTCAATACATTTTATAAAAATTCAACTTACACAATTTTTGAAAGAAATTGAAAGAAACTTAAAATAGAATTTACCACTTCATCAATATTTTTCTAATTAATTTGTAAAATGCTCTATATCTTTTAAACGATGCTTTTTACCGTTTCAATGCAAACAATTTTTGTTTTAAGAAAATTAAATTTTCTACAAAAAACTTGCGTTCAATTTTTCTCTCACTTAAAATGTTTCACCGGAAAATGCGTAAAATAAAATTTTTTCGTAAAAAAACGACTTTCGTAACATAAATCGACCAAAATATATGAGTTAACATCAATCGGCTGAAAGTACTTTCAAAGAATATTTTAGAGTTTTCAAATTGAGCTTAAGTTTATTGCAAGAGCGTTAAATGCCGTTAAGTTATAGGTAATTGACAAAAAATCCTAATTTTCATATTTATTTTAAATGAAAAAACTTTAATTTTAATTATAATTACTTTTTTTTTTTTTTTTTAAATTGTCGAGGCTTACACTTTCAGAGATTTTTTTATTTTCACTACATAAAACAATATTTCGCTAGTGGAGCGAAAAAAAATATTTGCTCAAAACAAAATACTCTAATTTTTATGAGAGAGTGAAATTCTTCCACTTGAAATAATTTTTAGTTAAATTTTAAAAGGTTTTGGTGGGGCTATTTGAAATTTTCCATTAAAATTGAAATACGTGAAAAATTTTTTTATTACTGAAATTGCAACAACTTTTGAATCGTTCAAAAAAAAATTTTCAATTCGCATAGTCTTCTAGGAAACTAAATTTTCTAAAAAAAAAATTCCTGAAGAGTAATTCCTAAACGCAGTAATTTGTATACTTGCAGGCCATAAATGTTTATAATGAACATAAATGTACAGTCTTAAGGGTCTATCATTAAAAATACTTATAACTTATAATTTATCCTATATTATAAAATACATGAAAGTCTTGAAGTTAGTCATAGGTCGAAATTCGCAAAAAACGAGCCACAATTCATTATTGGTTAAAATTAAGGCGCGTGCGTAGCGCGCTATTCAAATTTCCAGTCATAAATTAAAAAACATGAATCATAACTTATTAATGCAAGAAAGTGATACAATTTTTATTAACAAATTTTTAACTTTCCTGAATTTAAAATTCCGTTGATCGAAGTCGAAAATACCGTAAAAAAAAAAAAATAGCCATTTTGATTATTATCTAATCAATTTAATTGAACATAGCAGTGATCGAAGCTGGTAATCGAACTAAAGTCAATAAAAACGATATTGCTTAATTCGTAATTGAGGAACTAGATTTGCGATATCTTAACAACCGAGATATCCCTGGAACGATAATCGAAGTACCGTTAGTATATCCAGGAGAAAAAAGGGGATAGTTGCATGGCTTCTGAAGCCTATCCACCACGAGCAAGTGATCCTACCTACTTACCTAATACCCACATTTTCCTAGCAATCGTCGTAATATCGTAATATCTTTATATCGTTCAATCGTCGTCATTGCATTACTATCACAAAGTCATCGAAAAAGCTTTCTTATGTTTTACTCGCTCAACACCCCTTAAATTTATTTATAAATACAGCTTGAAGACAACTGATATTATACTCAATTATTTTGCTGGTTGACCGCCGGTAATACAATTTTTAATTGGTTCTTTTTTTATGATTCACGAATTGGAATGGAAGGAGATGTTTAATTCGTATGAAAAAAATACTATACGCGGAAAAATTTAAACGAACTTCAAAATTGAATTTTTAATATAATTAATATCTTGTAATTTATTTGCAATCAACTTATTATTAAAATTATTTTTTAAATTTATTCTTGTAGTATACAGTAGATAATTATTTTTTTTCTGTTGACGTTTAACATAAAATTATTGAAAAATTGGATACAGTAATAAGATTATTAATAAAAACTTGTTGTATACTTAAACTTTACTTCGATCAACTAACGTATGACACGTGCGCTTAAGGCATACCCATTTGGATTTACCAAACTTTTTTTCATACAAAAAATAAAAATGATTATGAATAGATTTAAATTTATATTTCACTCAAATTTATTTTCATGTATCAAAACTGAAATAATTCATAGTAATAATTAATGAAGACCAAGAGAAAAAAAAACCAATCTTCTTATTTTCAATAAACTTGAAATATTATTTCATTTACTTAAAAAGACTTGGGTAGTGTTTACAGTACAGTAGCAGAAGCAATACATGTAAGAGCAGATTTTAAAGGATTTAATACGGATGAAAGAATCTTCATTCGGGCTCTGTAAACTCCAAAGGCCATAAATTTTCTTCAATCGATTCTCTCTTTTATATTACTGGTAGTGTAGGGCATCAGCTTAGTATACGGCAGGAAGCATGTTGAGGCTTTTCGTGGCTCAGTTGGTTGCTTTGGTTTGCTCAAGTGATTTTTTCATCAGCGCCATCACTCAAACGTCTGTATTAAACTTCACTTCTGACAATGGATGAACAATTTCGCGTGCTGATGACTATATTGTACGCAGTAGTAGTCTTATATATCTGATGCTCGATCGATTTCTACCCGTAATCTTTTTTCGTAATTGTGCGATGTACATATGTACGGATTTACCCACATATGTGAGTGAGTAAATTATTCTTGCAGTTGAATATAAGTAGTGAATTTAAATGTATAACTAACAACAAGTTACTGCAAAGTAAGTCATATAAAAATGCAATAGTAAAATGAACACATAATCGAAGCCATAGAGAGGAGAAACGACAAAGAACTTTAATGTTCGTATGCTTCACTGGCTAGACTGGTAATCAACGCGTGGCCTCGTAGTCGATAAAAAAATGTAAATATTACTTTTTCTTAGGCTTTTAAATTAAAAGATAGCAGTTTATTGAAACCACTAAAGCGTTTGTTAAAGTTATGTTATATTGTTATTTAGTGGTTGGTTTTTAAATTTATTTTTTGAGAAAAAAAAATTTGTTTTTAGACAGATTGTGAATGTTTTAGAATATTTACAAAATGTAATCCAATCACATATATATTATCAAATCTTAACATATATGGTTCATACGTAATCATTTTATTTTGAGCGGCCATTTTTTACACTGAAAATTTACAATATTATTTGAAACACCGGAAAAATTTTCTCAAAATTTGAGCCTCTAATTTTAATTTCAATTTATATTTTCATGTTGATGGATTTTCCATAAAAAAATGTATTTTAGTGAAGTAACTGCTGTTGTTTTTTTTTTTTTTTTTTTTTTTAAATTAATTTAAGTAAAAATTTCGAAATCGGGTAAAAAAAAATTTTTTTCAAGAATTGAAAAAATTTATATTATAATTACAATTATGATTAAATTTCTAGTTCATGCGATAATTCCAGCTCCATAGATTAAAATGTCATACAACTTATATTTGAAGATTACAAAGTTAAAAGCCGTTTAGTTTGATACCGTCGGTTAATGGGCACGTTGAAGAAATCAATTAGGAAGAAGCTTGCATAATGGATACCTGGTAAAGTCTAGAGCGCTCGCTAAAGTAAAGGTTAAGGAGTTTTAAAACTCCCTTGAGTAGATGAGTAGAATATACCCTATTTATCCCTCACTTTAACACATCCACCATTTATCCACGTATGTGTATATCTATTAAATATATATGTATACCTTACCATCATGGACCCAGATCGAAAGAAGCCAGTGGGGTCCGGGGTTCTCTTATCCGGCAATCTGTTCATTTGTTTCGGCAGAGAGTCTTTACATTCTCTGCAAGGAAGGAACTTAGCAACTTTCTCAGCCTTATTTATTATTTAATCCAACGTTTCTAGGCTCCTTTGTACTCTATATAAGCTATACCACTCCACAACGAAACAACTTTGGTAACTTAACTTTTAGTATACATAATTCGATGAAGAAATATTTTCAAGAACGCTCACGGAAATATTTTATTTAGATTTGAGCAGAATTTATCAGCCACTTTTTAAGACAAAGCATTTTCCTACTTTAAGATAATAAATTTTAGTGTGCGATGTGATAAGTTGCTGATATTAGTAATGGCTTGATAGCAATCACGGCTATGGATTCACAGAAGCAAAGCCGGGCTGAGAATGATGAAGTGATTACTAATTGAATAATAATTACCAAGCATTGAAATGAAACGACAAAGAGATTGTCGTTATATGATAATCCAGTGGTCTGTGCTCCAGCGATATGATGGAGAGCCAATAACTTGCATTGCCTGAGCACTGAGAAGCCTATCAAATTCCGGATCGCGTTCCCATTCTGATAATCTCTGATGGAGTTTCTCTCACGTTAATTACGACCATCAATGATGACTGATTCATTAATTAGTGACGAATCGCTCGCTTGGTTCCAACGACAAAAGAAATTGTATAACTCTATTGGTGATATGTAACCGAGATATTGAATATATATGTTCATATGTATTTGACGATATTGTAAGAATGCGTGTTCATGTAAATGAAATTTTTTAATTAAATTTATTGTATTCAATATTGTGATTAATTTTTGCAAAAGCTGAAGATAAACTAATGAAAGAAGAATCTAGAAAAAATTTAACTATACTAAAAGAAAACAAAATTGATTCAAGGTATGCTTGATCCAATAAAATTATTTCGACTGTCCCAAAGTTCGTAATTCATCGCACCCGATTCCGATTCTCGGGCCATTATGTTGTTTGTTGTTTGTCCATCACTTTGGAACTCAACGATAATACAGTGTCTTTTTGTTGGAAATAGAGCTAATAATCGAACCAATCTATTGAATCATATTACGGATAAACTTTTATTGTAATTTTAGCGGACATACCTGAGATACAATATTAATTATCATTCAATTTTGCTACTTGTTAACTTTGTCTATGGATACGATTAGAAATTTTTATAGATTTTAAGATTATTCATTGTAGCGAAGTGGAAATAAAATTTCTTAGTCCCAGAGTAGAAATTTATTGTGGGTATTTTAAAGGACTAAGTATCATTAAGTGTGTTGATTTTTAAGCTTTAGAAATTAGCTTCTGTTTTTTGTCAAATTGTTCTTTTTGAAAATGAATGCGCTGAACGAAAAGTACTTTATTCAAAAAAAATATTGTTGATTCGAGAAAATTATTCTCAAAAGAACTGGTTGTATTGATTCAAGAATTTTTTATGTTAAGACTCGTTTTCTTAGCGAAGGTCAATTTAAAATTTGAGTATCAAGACTATATTATTTTTGTGAGATACAATCATATTCGACATCGAAGAAAAAATTATTATGCAAAACTAATAACTATTTTATTTTACTTTAAAAATTGATAATCTTGGTGCAAGAAAAAGTTTCTCCATTCAAAATAAAAAAAAAATCAAACGATATTTTAACTAAACCAATAGTTGTGTGAAACCGAGGAAAAACAAATTTTTCGATCGTAAAGCACTATCTGATGCTTCGCATCATGAGTCTTGCAATAAATTAATTTTGAAACACATTTAAGATTTGTTTTTGATGGTATAGAGAGGTAAAAAAATTAGAAAATTGGTTTTCTTGAAACAAGCCAGTAATATCAAATTGTTGACTGACGAATTTTTTTCATTCAATCTTTCTTGCTTTAATTCCTTATTTTGATTAGTTAAATTTTTGAATCAATTCAAACAAAAAATTTTGAAATGAGAATAAAATTTTCAAAAGAATATTTTTCTTGAATCAAATAATTTTATTTTCTTTTTAAATGCTGTTAGTGATGGCACTTTTTAAAATTTTTTAAAAATCAGCAAACTCTGCATATAATCTGAATATATTTTTAATGAAATGCTAGTAACATAACTAAAGTACAAAGTAACAAGTTTCGTAGAGTGAATAATCCATCGTACCGGTCGTCGAAAGCACAAGAAATAAATCCCCTAACTTGGCCCTCAATAGTGATCGTACTGCGAATAGAAGCCAACCAGTGGATTAATTCCTGCACTTCTAAAGCCAATAACTCATTGTTGAGTCATCCCAATACCACTTTATTACATACTCGCAGTAGCTGCTTGAGAATATTGATATTACAGCCTATTCGTCGATTATAAAGTCAAATGTCCAGTAAAGTGATTATTGACAGATTATTAATCATGAACTATGAGTTAATTTTTCATAAAATCTTCTGATTAGATCACGCACCAAAAATCGAAGAAAAATTTTAATCATCCTAATTTTTGGTCTTAGTTTTTTGGTAGTTTGAGCTTGTTCCCCTTGACTAGTAGCCTAATGGCCATGGAAGACCACCGGACTTTACAAAGTACTCTCGCGATTAAAGCGAAAGGAAGAAAATAAAAGGAGGAAGAAGAAATGAAGAAAGAAGATCAAAGCTCTGGGCTTCGCTGGAAAAAGATATTGACGACAAACGGCCTGGCTAATAATTGATCAAGCTTCTATTTCTATACCAGATTGTACAATAAATATTTTTCTTTTTTACTGACGATCGTTATCAACAATAACAGAAGATCAAAAGATTTTTTCGGGAAACAAACGCATCATTTTTACTGCTGACGTTTTAATAAGTCATTTTTATACATTTCATTTTAAATATTCAAGGTAAAACGGATTTTATTTTATTCATTATATTCTTTAATGTTAATGACAAGTAGTTTGTATTTTATGCGTTTTATTAAAGTTTCAGTTTAGTTTTATAATTTTGTTTCAGTGTGCTAAAAGATTTTATGATCTCATATGAATTTTTCAGTCATCAAAAAATGTATATGTGGAGGAAAATTATTTAATAGTTATAAAGTAGAAGTTAAAATGCATTAAGCTCGAAAAAGATACAAATTCTCTTAATTGTAAAATATTCAATTGCTTATATTTTCAAATATATTCGTTTTAGCGACATCATAGTTAGAAATATTCCTGCAGAAATTTAAATTACTTACAACTGTTATTTTTGCGGTTTATTAATGAGACAAGCTATTCTCTTACTATCTTAAAAAATGTACTAAAAAAGTCGAAAAAAACGATTTTCAAAACCGATATCATTCATATGATGGTTAATCCACCGAGAATTATATCTAATTGGATCTACCATCAATTGTTTAATCTTGTTGTTTTATCTATCATTTAATTGTTATGTTAAATTAATTTTTACCTGAATATGATGGATAGAAATAAATCTCAAAATAATCATTAATTTAACCTTGGAAAATTTTCGAAGCGGCCTTTAGAGTACAGAACAAAAATGATAGACTCAAGTGAAATTATTGATGTAATAAAGTAAATTGTAGCTTGTCTCATAAGCTGTGACATGAATTTTATGGAATTGAGATACGATTTGTTCGGAAGTTATTTAAAGATAAACTTGTAAAAGTAATGATTTGTCTATGTTTTTGAAATTTTTAAAGTTGCAGAATAATTTTGAAAATTATTAAATGTTTTTAGATGAAGTTAATGAGAGCTAATCTCACGAACTTTAAAATACACTTTACGACATTTAATTATCATTTTTCAAATTCATTTGAGAAGAAGAAAATCTATGTAAAGTGAAAAAACAGGCATTTCTTTACGATAGTTAAGTAACCTATTCTCAGCACCCTCTTCAGATTCCTTTCAACCCAGAAATTCAATTCCTCCCAAAAAGAACTTTCAAAAATAAGTGGCTCTCGAGCCTTTCCTGTCATTTATTTTATTCCCTAACAAAATAACCACCGAAAAGGCCTCTAATCACACTAGAATCGGCACTAGCCCGTAATAACTTAATAAAATGGTAAACGAGTGGAAAACAAGCAATTTGAGCCACCTACGACATAAAATTAGGGTATAAAGGTTTAGATTCGGCTGGTACGTTATTCACTGAGCGTCAAATCAGATAAAATCTCATCCCCTGTAAGCATCCCCTTTGTGAAAACTCTTCTCTCCTCGTATCATCGAGAAACAACCGTCTTTGTCATAATATAAATTTCGGGTTTATAGTCCGTAGTCTATAGTCTGTAGTCTGTCTAAATATATATCATTCCATCTCGGGACCCCCAACACGCAAACCATCAGAGAGTAACTAACGAAAGTAAGAGGGTGGTTGTTACTACGGTTGTTATTAAATGAGACAGCCTAATAGGCCCATTACCCGTCTCTTTGGACCCTCGGTCCATTCCTATCCCACATATCATATAATCCCTACCGCACGCGTCATCATATTGCTGATGGAATAAACTCACCAGCCCCTTCAACCATCACACGCCCTCGCTCCTCGCTTTTACTCTTTTATGTTGTTATTATATTATATTATATCAAACTTTACTACACTGGTTTATACTATATACACCGCAAACTGTGCAACCATACCATGACAGTGTATATCTTTATCCATCTTGCACGCGCGCCCACACACCGTAGCCACTCAGATCACACGACAGATAATGCTCATAGACCTTTTAACTCAAGATTAACCAACAAAAAAAAAGTAAATTCCTGGTGACAGTTTCTCGAAAGTCTGCTGTACATCCATAATATCCATTTTCAGTTATAAAAAGAATGTCTGGAAGATTTCGGGCTTCGTCTCGGATAGCGCCAGTTTACTGGTGCGGAAGTAAACCCAGATTTGGGATGCATTCCTCAGAGAATTACCTGCATTTAGACTCAAGTGTTTTATATCTTACATCTAAGGATGCTCATTTGGATTTAACAATTTACAGTACAAATATTTAGGCGCCACAATGCTGATAGAAGGATTTATTTGGACGTAAGAAATGGTTTGTCAACGGAAACAAGTATT